TAGTTTTAATTATCTGACATTTCTTCGTATGAGTTTTAACCTTAAATTTTTTATTGATACATATAAATGTATTTATTTATTCATAGTCCTTATATATGTATAAATTCATAGTTATATTAATAACCCATTTATATTTATAACATTTCATATTTCTATTTTAAGAATCCGTTTCTCACAATTTCCGGTTCGTAAGAGGACTTTGATATCGCGACTCAACCTTTCACTTTTATCGAGGCAGATTCATTTTCATTGAAGGCGTAAACCAGAATCCAATTCATGAGAGATTGAGAGAAATTCTTAATCGTTATTTGCGTTAGATTAATGATACCCGTGTCACAGAAATTACGACTGAATTTGTGACTCACGCATTTTTAATTGATATTTGGATTACATAATTTAATCTTTATCGTTTTTATTGCTACTTATTGTATATTTTTTGTTATATCTTTATTAATTTTGTAAATATATTTATATAGTCTTTTTATTTATTGGTAATTTCTATGTATATATATATATATATTATCTATTTATATATATTTATCTTTAATATTATGTATCTTTTTTATATTTTAATTAATTAATTTATTTATATTTATATTATCTTTATATTATTTTTATCTTTCAATATTTTTTCTGGTTATGTAACAATAGGTAATCCCCGTAAATGTTTAAATAAACAAATAAACAAATAATTGCGGATAGACATACCTTGTACATTGTCGATATCGATGATTATAATATTAGAGATTATTAACGATTGTTATAACTCTCCTACCAACAAGGAGAACCAATTTTATTTTAAATAATCACCGTTAAAATTCATTTCTACAATATTTCAATTTTTCTTGACACTTATCAACGATAGTAAACTAAGTAATATTTACGAATGGAATTATTCTAATTATTTATTTCCTTTACATTTTTCTCTAATCGATTTTGAACGATCTTCAATTGGCTAAAATGAACGGCTAAAAACAGTAATACAATTTGAATTTATTTCCTTTAAATTGTCTAAGAACCAAGCCAATTGCAAAATTAATATCGAAACTTCTTTTGCGGATACAGAGAGGAGTCTTTTGTTATGCGTCGACTTTTCTATACGAAATGAGGTTAACGACGTCGAGTTGCTCGTCGTGATACTCGATGCGAAAACTGTCTCGCATGACTTGCATACGTGAGAAGAACTGGCTCCTATGGTCTGTCTTACAGGCGTGTCCTTTGGTACCTGTTATCTTTTCTCGAACTTACGTTAATCGTTAGAAAAAAAAGTATATGTATATATATATATATATAAGCACAACGAGTTCTTTTGTGAATAACTTAAGCAATAATAAAAGAAGCGTAGATATTTTTACTTATGTCAAAATTGTGTAAGACTTTTTGAGCCACGTCGTTATGACATTTATGTAAACGTCTGTCTATCTGTTTTGTCAGATTTGGAAACTGAATTGAAAGAAAATGTTAAACGTGAAATAGAAAGTACTCTTTTCACAAAGATTCTTATGGTGTAAGATACTTACACACCATACAGATACATAGATTGTTTAATTCTTTAGGAGTTTCCTTTTTTAAACGTATCGTACAGAAAAATTCTTCTCCTGTTAATGGTCTAACAAAGTGTTCTTTAATTACTGTCTTCATCCGACAACAGCGTTCCTATTTAATTGATGTTTCCTTGAAACATATATCTTATTTCTTGCTAATGTTACGAGATAAGTATATCTGTTTTAGGATGTATAAAGGGGATTAGAATGTTTAAAAAATATCGTAAAAGATTTGCAGGAATGAAAGATTTATTGATCGACCGAGTAAAAACGTAACACAAGAAAGCAGTATGGTGTAGAGTGTTGAAGAGACCAAGCCATCGTTCGCATCACGGCATAGTCGAGATCAGAACCGGTTTTAACCGATCATCGCATCGTCGTGGTTTCGATCTACTTATCCACGGTTGATACACGGATTTGCAATCCGATTGTCATAAAATTTCAATGTAGAAAATAAAACAAAAATTTATAATAATTGTTTTAATTAAATGTTGAGATCCTCTTCTGGTCTGCTTCTATTGTTGGTTTTGATAAGTAGTCGAGTGTATTCATAAAAGTCCAATTGTCCTAGTCAAATTTTAGCGTCTTCCAGCGAGCAAGGGTGCTGCAGGGTAAGCGTAGGCTGCTGGTAGGGCTGAATAGGCCAAGGGTGCAGCTGCAATTGCAGGTGCAGGGGCTACCGCGTGTGCAGCGAGGTAAGGTGCAGCTATGGCATGATTGATGGCGTGAGCGTTGTAACTCGATGCGTAAGTACCAACTGTGAGTGCTGCTGGAATCGGTGCTGGTATAGCTGGTACAATACTGGCGGAGCAAACAGCCACGAAGGCGCCGATGAGAACCTAAAAGAGAAAACAGATCGATCGTTAAAAGGGGGTGAGTTTAATCCTAATCGGATTAATTTGAATTCTTTGAAATTATTTCTAAAAATGTAATATTAATGAGATAATCAATTTCTAACAAAATTTCATCGTATTAAATCGGTATATAAGACAATTTGAAAAATAATTTTATATATGATAGATAAGATATAAACTTACGAAGATCTTGGTCATCATTTTGCTTGGGTGGTTTTGCTTTGACGTTAAGCTGCCAAAACTGTGATGGCAAACGATGAGCTCCGTTGTCTTTTATAGGTGGTTTTCGCTTTCCAACAAGGGAACTCCCACCCCATGCTCTTTCGTATCTCACAATACCAGAAGGATTACAGTCTTGCATACTAGATGACCTCTGCGTAAACTTGGCCACGCCCGTTCGATGCCACCCGTTCTATCACTGGTGCGCCTTCGTCTCAAAGAACTTCTTTTTTTGGAAGTCCATCGAACGATTTAACTAAATTCGATCGTGATTCGAGACGTGACGCGAAACGTTAATATTTCGTTTCTTTTCGTTTCATAGGTGTGCCCGGTTGATTTGCAAATCGTAGCTTGTCAAACCAACTTCCGGCAGATTGACATTCAAAAGAAAAAGATTTTTCTTATCGATCTTATGAGGGGTAATCTTGATTTTTTTTTATCCAAAATTAAATCATGATTCGAGAGATTGATGTTAACAATACATATATATTATATTATATTTTCAATTTATATAATGACATATTTGCGATAAATAACATTATGACGAAACAGAGAATCGTGTTTACGTATTTAAAACAATTATTAATAGTATCCCATTGCTATAACGCTTACATCGTGCATTCTATTCGTAGTTGGAAGGTTACGTCTAGGTTTTGACGACGTAATTCTAATGATCTGTTGCAACGATCACCTCTCGGGAAAATTAATCGCTTAGAAACCGTCCTAAATACTTTAACAAGTGTTTCGTACAATTTCTTATCCAGATTGAGACATCGGTGGGTGAAAAAGTGGCGGCTATCGTCCAACCTTTGAACGTGTCTCGAATTTTATTCGACCATACGAATTATTGCGTTTAATCGAACATTGTGTATTGTACATATAGAAAATATATATTTGAATTAACTTTCTTTCATAAATTTGTTATGTATTATTCGACGATTAGTGTGTATACGCACACCTGTTTTTTTTATTCTAAAATAAATAGACTTTATTTTTTATTGAACTTCCCTTTGTACCTTTGTTTAAACTTAATTACTATCACAATATTTATTTGTCTTGGTTTCGAACAAAAGTTCTAATAATAAGGGTGCGTAGGAAATCGAAGGATCGATTTATTATTTATTCTAGGCCAATAGTCTTCAAACTTTTTCAATTCACAGAACCCTAATGAGCGTAAAAACATTTTATGTAACCTTTCCTGATAACAAAATTAATTTTTCATTTGCTCATTTTTGTGTATTGCTTTTTACATTAGTCCTGAAATAAAATTATTCAAGCATTATAAATGATATTATTATAGTATAATATTCTTGAACAATAATTCGTGGAATCTCAGGGTTCCTAGAAACAAAATTTGAAAATCATTGTTCTAGACTAATGATTGTTTCTCCTAACAATAGACTAAACTATTCTTAATAACATTATTGTTATAATATTTCAATCTTGTAATCCTAAGAAACGTTAACGTTGATATTTTATAATATCTAACGAATTAAACAAATAATTTATTGATTTACTTCGTTCCTTTTTCATTCCTTATAATAATTTTATGCAAAAATAGAATAATTCTTAGAGACTTTATGTTCTTCCTACTCGTCGTAGTCGTATTTCAAAAGCAGGATATAATCTTCAAGGTTTCCGCTGCTGCAAGGTTGAACCAGATCGAGTTGTCGATCGTTGCCCGGATTTCTTTCACAGGACCTGCTTATTTCTTCCTTTTCTCTTCCGACTACTTTCAGGATACATCCAAAGAGAAAAAGAGATAAGTACTTGCATTGATAAAAAAAATATAAAATAATGTTTCGTTATTCACATAAAAGCCTGTTTTCCGCAAAAGGGAAAATCGAGAATATCTCAAGCAATTCCTTCCTGCGGAAAGGACGTGTGTGTTGTTTCTTCGAAAGTGTACAATTATCATAGGGGAGATACATTGGAAAAAATTTAACTTGGCAAAAAATAAGTCACCTGGCGGTGATTATCATCTTGGATAAAATAAAAATTGAAGGAAGATTGTTACATTCAATCAGTTGTTTTTCTCGTCTAAAAATAAAATTCTTAATGAGAAGGTATCACAGGGAACTTGGACATAAAAAAAGAAGTAGAACTTAATTTAACAACTTATTATTTTTTTTAATTAACAATTTAACTTAGTTGTTAGTTAAATTAAGTTCTACTTCTTTTTTTATGTCCAAATTCCCTGTGATATCTTCTCATTAAGAATTGTTACATTCTTTCCTAACAAATAATCAAATATTTTTCCTTAAAAAATAAAACAAAGGGCATGAAAATAAGAATAAGATTTTTGTTAAGATTGGTAAGAAATGTTTATTGGTGAAGATGTATTAACAAAAGACAGTCATTTGATAGATCCAAATTTCATTGTTTAACCGAAAAACGTTGGTCCGTAGGCAGCAGCGAATTGAGCTAAAGGAGCAGTCAAACTTCCGGCATAAGTTGGTTGGAATAAACCAGGTGCGGCAACGAACGGTGCAGCTGGTGCAGCGGCTAAAACTGGTGCGGATGGTGCAGCGGCTAAAACTGGTGCGGATGGTGCAGCGGCTACAATTGGTGCTGCTGGTGCTGCAGCTACGAGGGGTGCAGATGCGATCAATGGGGCAGCAACATTTCTGGTGTTGATGTCGACTCTGGATGTGTATGGTGGAATATTGTATGGCACAGCCTTGGCATAACCAATAGCTGCAGGTGCAGCAACTACTGGTGCAGCAACTGCTGGTGCAGCCACAAGTGGAGCCGCAGAAACTACTCCACCCAGAGCAACCTGCGCTATTGCGAGCACAGTCGCGATTGTTACCTGAAAATAAATATCATTTTACGTTAAGAGATACTCGATCAAACGAAATTCTTTGTGATATCCAATTCGAACTTACCGTAACAAAAGAGTTCATGTTGCTTGGTTTGAAGAAGCACTGCACAATGCCAATGTCCGAACTGGTATCGTTTTTATACCAGTCCCCCAACGACCATTCAATACTTTCTTTCTACTACGTGATCAATTTCACGATGAGCTCTCGATAGATTACGTAAATGATGAACCGACCTAGAACGTTAAGGTTTTAGTGATAAGCCACGTCTCTATTATACGTTTAACGATTTCTACATATTCTTACATATTTATTAACGATTGTTATTACTTTAAACAGAAATTAATTTACTAAGGTGCGGGGAGGGCGGGCTGGGGTCCAACGATTTAATCGCCAGTTAAAGGATCTTTAAATGAAATCTTGCATAATTGTATTGCGTTAAATATCGAAGAAATGTCAAGTGTGTTAGATATTTAATATAAATTTCCCAATCTCATCGTATTTCTTATATTTACGTGTAAATTTATCGTTTATTGGATTTTCGATTCCACTTTGAAACAAATATAGAATGATTATATTATTGAGTAAAATATCATAATATAATGAATACAACGTCAGAGAAGAAAGTTACAAAAACAATTGCATAAACTCTATGTAATTGTGAATTAACATAAGACTATTGTTCTTCTCATTGATATTAGCTGTGCATTTTGTTGGCTAATACCGTTATGTTATGTTCCTACGTCATATGTTTATATAAATACGTAATATTAATAACACACAAAAATTAGAGAATTAATTATTAAAACGATAATTTAATTAAAAGGGGAATACGAATGAAATAGTTGAATAATTATTTTTATATTACGTTTTATAAATATTACAATAATTGAAATATTTATATTAAACGTTTTATTTATTTCTCAAAAATGTTTTTTATTACATACATGTTCATATTAAAAAATAATAAAAGTGTTTTTTCAAACTATACGACAATAGTTATGCGACGAAAGAGGTACAAATAGTCCAACAGAATTTTTGGTTGTTTTTAAAGTTCATTTCCATTCAACGTCATTTCCATTTCTCGCTTGAACGAAGTGCTTTGTTCACCTCGTGCATTAATAACAAAATTTTTCATATTCGCACCGGTATAGTACTATTATTCTTGTCATTTTTTTTTCAAGATCCTTCCGAACACATTTGAGCTCGATTGTTATTGATTTGCAATAACGAGAGAAAAATAAAAAAAAAGAGATAGAGAGAAAAAGGAAGAAAAATAGCTTGAAGTATCGACAAGTTAATGTTACTGAAAGGAGATCACACAGAGAAACGCCACGCTATATTTATATTCAATAATTGTTCTGTCAGACGTATAGATATAGAACGTTTCATCGATGTTAATCGTAATATTTATAGGAAAAACAGTTTCCTCCTTACAGTCTATTAATTGACAATTAACTAAAAGGGATGTGACATTAAATAAATAAAGTGTAACGATAAATGTAGGTTGGAGAAACTTAATATATTTTTTCTAATATAAGATCAATTGACACATAATCGTAGTCGAGAGAACAAGTTGATTGGTTTATAGGCTTATTTAAGGGCATTTTAAACATATGCAAGACGTGCTACTGCCGGGTATGATGGGGCATATGCCAAATGTGTGGCTGCGAGTGGTGCGGTGTAAGCAGCAACTGGTGCGGTGTAAGCAGCAACTGGTGCGGCTACTGGTGCGGCTACTGGTGCATGTAGAGCAGCTGCGGTGTAAGCCAATGGTGCGGCAGCAAACGTATTGTAATTTCTCGCAACAACTTGGCTACTTCTGGCAGTGACAATTGGTGGTGGAACAGCTGCAACCGCTGCTGGGGCTGCCAATAATGCACCTGGTGCTGCATTTACGCACGCGACCGCTACGAGGGCAAAGATGCTCTGAAACAAATGTTTTATATATGTTAGATAAATTATTCTTCGATTTTTTTTCACCAATAATAATGTAAATAAATAATGTAAAATTTGCAAAATTAATTAACAAATCAAATATTTTCAATTAATAATAGAACAAAAAGTTAAGAGATATTAAATTGTTAAATAATTTTTAATAGAATTTATCGTTTAAATTAAAAAAAAAAAAAAATAAAAAAATGTTGTACCAGAGTATTATTTATATTGTTAGATATAAAATAATGTAAAATTATAATAGAAACAAATGTTGGATTTTCTATACTACAACAAATTATAATAGACGATTGCTATGTTCGAATAATGAATTATTCGTTCGTTTGTTCGTTCGTTCGTTCGTGGATAAATGGTGCTTTCACTTACGAGGAGCTTGAACATTTTTGATTCACTTGTTGATTCGACGAGTAGACAACGAGTGACGACGAATTCTCCTGCCACGAATTTATAGGAGACAAGCAACCTCGCCCCGTCGTCTCGTTTGAAAACCTTGCGAAATGATTCGTTCGAAATCGCTCTCACTGTTGTTGAGTGGATGAATGCAAAGCGTTCATTCGTTGTTTCAAGTGGTAGAGCCTCCCCTCGACCGATTTTCGATCGATAAGCTTTACAAGGAAAACGTTCCTTTCATATCTTCCGTAACTTTCGTTTTGCTCAAATTTCTACTTTTCATTTGAATTCATTGTCCGAGATTATTATACGTTGACTCGACCAATAAATATACTGTTGGAATAATTATTAATATTAAATATTATTCTGTTTATTTTTAATTGTGGATTGCAAATTTATTTTATTTTCATTACAAAAATAACTCGTCGTATTTATTTAATTAGAAAATACCGCGTACATCGAAATAATTTATTTTATCAGCCAACGCAGTATTTCAAGGTTCTTTTTTTCTAAATATGTTAATAAAAAAAAATGATTCGATCTGCGCCCTTATCATTAATTTCCATTCTTACAATTAGTTAGATATTTTTTTTTTCGAAAATTTAAAACCCAATATTTCGAAATATTTTTAAATGTCATAATAAAAATAATGGTTCCATCTGTGCCCGTTATCATTAGATTCTATTCTTAAAATGAGATATTTAGTTAATAAATTACGAACACAATATTTCAGGGTTTTTTTGTATAAATAAGATAAAAAAATAATAAAATAATACTTTTATTTGCGTATTAAAAATTATTGGAATACACTTTTCCTTCTATTTGTAAATATTCCTTTAGAGTGAATATCGAGAAAGAAACGATATCGACATATGACGATTGGTGCACGTCCTGCACCATGCACTGATACGCATTATCCTTGGAAGCGTAGATACGATGTCCTTGTTTAAATCGATTCTATTGACTGATCGAGCCTAAATACGATTTACATAGGAGATTCTTCGACTTCGAGAGGTTTGTGCAATACGATTGAAGTCGGCCAATAGAAATTACGTAAAGTTATGTTATAGTAAGTTGTTGTATAACCCCTCCGACCGCGAATCGTACTTGGGGACAATGCATGGCAAGGTCATATACGAGTACAAAACTCCTTCAACTCTATTCCTCTGTCTCTCTTTCTTTTTCTTTCTTAATCTCTCTTTATTTTACGCGTCTAGCGTGTGGAATGGTATGTGGCAAGTTCTAAGTACAAGCGATTAGCTCAGGTTTCGACTAGCATGAGCTGAATTTAAAAAGACGTTGCATGATAATGAATTCCCAACTAATGTTCGTACGCGTAAGGTTAAATGATAAATAATATAATAATAACAAAAATATATATTATTAAATGTTGATATATTATTTATGTGTTCTCAGTCAAAAGTTATTAATTAATATTTATACTTATTTAAGTTATATATATATTTATTGATTGTCGACAAAATCTTTAACGGGAAAAAATTAAGTTTGGATAATATATTGATACTTTTTATAGAGTAATGATTAATCAATTGGATTGTTTATGAAATTTGAAGCTATGTAAAATATCATTTTAAATCAAAAGTGTTGTTGGTGATTTTTGATTGAACGTAGATGACATAATGTATTAAATTAAGTATGATACAAGGTTTTCTTTATTTTTATATTATCGAATAATATTTATTAAAATTAATATACATATAGATATATATATTTATTTATTGAAGAGTAGAAAAGAATACGATTTTGCATTGAGGGTTTAAATAAAAAAAAAAAGATGCGGTTTATTTCAAAAGAATGTTTTGCTCGATGAATATGAAAATACTTTTTTATTCCGTTTCGATTGAAGATACAGAATTCAAAAGGATTAAATCTATGCTATTGATTTAATTAAACTTTCTGTAAGATGTTCGATATTTGAAACAAATCAATGAAAATGAATAATATAACATTCACGTCCGCGAACGCGTGTTAATATATGAATAACAATCATTTGTTTCCTATGTTTATTCATGCCCTTGCATCGGACTACACCCACATTGATTCATTTATGCCTAAATCATTTCTTTCTTTTTGCTCGATGACATAGATTCATCGCGAAATTTAAACAATAAACGACGAATACCGTGACATAATATGCACACGCGAAGAAAAATGTCCAATTGTTAGTTATTTTAAATCAGTTTTTTTCCTTTTCATATAGAAGAAACAATATTCTCAGAATATAAAATTCGGAAGAAAATTCTTATCGAAGAAATTTCTTACCCTTCAAAGTTTTCTTTATATAACTGTTGTCGATTTGTAAGAAGGACACGTTACATCAGAAAAAAATATATAAAAACCAATATGAATAGAAAGGAAATATTTTCATATAACTTTTCTAATCCGTTTCTTCGATACGATGCAAATAAAATAATTGATGTTTCAAATAAAATTATTATATCGAAGAGAGACGATAAACAAATCGATGATATAAATGTTAAAGGTTACTAAATCATTTTTAAATGAATTGAATCAATTATTTTTCGTTATTAAAAATATCTTATAACTTTCTCAATCTATTTTCAACGAATTTTTCCTTTTAATCAATATAGTTATATTTAGGGGCTCAAGTAATTGTCTTTTAATTAAAATAAAAATGATTATTTTGGAAAAATATAAATCCTGGTACATAATTAACATTTTGTAACTGATTATGAGTTGTGTGTGAAAAAAAAAATGATAAATCACGAGTATGCAATACACATTAATAATAGACTTTGACTCTGGAATCTAATTAATCCTCGAAGGTATATTCAGGTATCATTCAAATAATCTCAAAGCCGTGATCGTTGAAAAAGTTTGCAATGTGTTACCATTTTCCGTGTATGGTCAATCCTGTTTGGAGAGAACGTTCGCTTCAACCGGATCTCGATGTGATGTCAGAGAACACTTCAAGGTAAAGCCCGTATATTTTTTCTCAAGTTCAAGTTCGCCGAGTCTGGTTGGTACTTATAAGAGAGAGAGAGATAGAAAGAGAGGGAGATAGAGAAGGGAAGAAAAAGGGTGAAAAAAATGTGAGAAAGAAAATACCATTCACATTTTAATCAAGCTCTAGTACTCTCGTTTCTCGTTTACGTGTTAATTTACGCGTTAATTTACGTGTTGGGCGAGTTTGCATTTTATATTCGTTCAAATGAATGCATAGATTGCACTGATATGAATATTTTCAGAATTATTTTTATAATAAGCTGCACACGTATTATTTGTACAGAAATAAAATTTCAACAGCTAGCAAATATGTTATATTTAATTGCCACTGGTTTAGCCAAGTTTGATTACTATTATAATTTTCGATCGATCATTAATGTCAAGCAACGTGGGTACGGTTAGTAACATGGAATGGGTGACCTATTCCGAGAAATAAAACCACAAAAAACCTATCTGTGTTGTTTGTTTAAATTCGGAAAGGTGAAAATAAATGCGACCTCTCTCTGGTTGTAGTATTTTGAATAAGTGTGAGAAAGGTGTTAATAGGAAAGTTCGACGAACTCGTAAAAGGGAGAGAATAAAAACAATGAATGTTTTATTTAATTTTTCTTTTTTATTTTTTTTTAAAGATAAAGGGATGTTTAATATAATTCCTATTCGATATTATATTTGTATGACAGGAACGTTTTTTCGTTCTACTTAAATGCGAATTGTAACTGCGAATGATCGAGTTTCAAGGACTCGGTGAGAAATTAAAGGCCATAGGTAATTTGAAGGTTCGAAATGATCAGATTGAAATGAAATCGGCAGATTGAGTTTCGGAATTGGAAAAGGGAATTAGAGAATTGTATTACGAGCCGATAAATGCAACATCGAGTTGCATAGGGTTGATTATTGGTTTCGCAAAAATTGGCAAAAGATGACAATGATGTTTGACTGGATATTGCGACGTTCAGAGAGAAAGCATGACAATAATCTGAAAAGAAAAATAGATTCTTTTCGGAAATAAATACAAAAATGTATAAAAATTTATTGAAAAATCGTATTAATCGGATTATGCGTGTTATGCAAGCATTAAATTTGGAAAACAAAAAAAATCATTTCCTATTCGATTTCATTCATTTAATATTAACAAGATATTAAAATAAAACATATAGTCCACACTTAAAATTTATTTGAACAAAAATAAGAAACACATACAAACGAATAAACTAATAAACTTATTCTTAGATAATTTGTTTAATTTTAAATAAATTTTTGGATCAATCACGATGAACCAGTATTAAACGTTTCCGATTTCGCGGCAGTCTTTTATAATTCCGAGGTCAAATTGGAAAAGTAGGAGAGAAACTCAGAACCCGGTTTGGGGAGCGGGAATAACCTTGAGGATTGCAATGACCTCCCTACTTGCTACTCTGATGCATGGTCAGGCCTTTCTTATAAAGCGTCGAGAAACATCCATCGTTTTCATTGGTCGGTTGCATCGGTACGTAGAGAAAAAAGAAATAAGAAGAAAAGAAAAGAAAAGAAAAGAAATAGGAAAAAAAGGAAAGAAAAAGGGGGAGATGAGGAAGAAACAAACTGTTGCTTTCGTTTTCTTTTCCACAAGACGACAACGACAACTACAACGACAACGACAACAACGAAAAATAAGACGAAGATGAAGGGGCGATGTACTCCACCGTCTGATGCCTAGCAAGTATAGAAATTGAATGCGTAGGGCGAGGGGAAAGGGATGTAAAGGGAAGATTCACTAGAATCCTCCTATATAAGAGAGATGCGTCTCGTATTTTCAGGTATTACTCTAGTACCACCAATCAGCCCAAGTAGAATCAACATGTTCAAGTTGGTAAGTTTGACTCATATTATCCAATTATTTCTTCATATTACTGACCTTCCTTTTCTAATCTATTATTTACGAAACTTAATACGAATACTTAATCTATTTTTTAAATTAGAAATAGACGACGCGAAGTTGTAATTTATATTAATTTTTCAATGGTCAATGTAGAATGTTTTATAAAAAGTATTTTAATGATAGTTGCTTTATTGTAAAAAGAAAAGAGAAGAAAATAATGAATATTAATATATATAATAGAATTATAGTAGTTTGTTTAGAATGTCTAGTTGCAGTGTTG